GTCTGTTTCGGGGCTTTGAACGGCCTTCATGAGGGCAGTGCAGCCGGGCCTGAGTTCACTTGGCTAATTTTCAGTAGCTGCTGGGACGAAACCCAGGGATCTGTGATTGCGGTTGCTTCTTGTCAAGAGCCCGAAAGCCTTAGGGCTTAGAGGAAGTACACAATTAGCCAGCAATCTGGGGGGGCTGCCGGAGGGTGGGGAGGCGGACTGCTGTTGCAGGGAGCTGCAGCCCCATGTTGGCTGCTGCTACCAGCTATCTGGCCATAACCCAGGAAGAGGCTGGCTGAGAGATCGACACGCACGGCCACTCTGCCTCGGTGGATGCCCTGCGCTCAACCCTTCAGTGGCTCCCTATTGCCCTCAGGACAGGACAGGTATCTTAGCAGGGCATATAAGCCGGGACCCTGCCCACCCTCCCAGCCTGCTTTGACCAGGCATACCCCCCTAGTCTGGCTGTTCCGAGCTCCCTAGCTTCCCAGATGGGACACCTTTGTGGCTTTGCTGGTGCTGCTTTTCCTGCTGAGCATTCTTTCCTTCCTGCGTCCTCAGTAGGTCAAGGCCTAGGCGTCCTTCCAAATCTTGGCCAGATAGGACTCTTTTCCCTGAAGTCCCCACTGACCCGCTACTCCCTCCAGTTCACGGCACCTTCCGCCCCGCCCAGGGCACTCTATCTCTGCTGCAAATCAGCCCTCCTTTCCTCCCTTCTCTGCCCTCCCTCCTCTCATTTCTTCGTGTTGAGTTATGGGCACCTGACCATGCTTTAGGCACATGAGGGTGATGGGAAAACAAGGTGAGATCCCGCCCTCAAGGAGTTTGAAGACCCATGGCTGCCAAATAAATTAATCAAATCACGGAGGTGAAGAATATACAAAGAAGTCAGCCCACAGAATGGGAGAAAATGTTTGTAAATCATCTGTCAATCAGTGAAGCTGGGGGTAAAAGCTCCTCTCTATGATTAAGAAATAAATAGATAGCCCTGGCCGGTTTGGCTCAGCGGTTAGAGCGTCGGCCTGCGGTCCAGAGAGACCGGGGTTCGGTTCCTGCTAAGGGCATGTATTTCAGTTGCAGTTTGTCCCCAGCTCTGGTTGGGTCATGCGGGTGGCAGCCACTCGATGTGTCCCTTTCAGGTTGATGTTTCTCTCTCTTCCTCTCTTTCCCGCTCCGTCTGAATAAAAAATGGGAAAATGTCCTTGGGTGAGGATGGATTAAAAAAAAAAAAGGGATGTACTAAAAGATTTCCTGTCTCAGTTCTGTTGCTGCTTAAGGAAGGCCGGAGGAGGGGGAAGTGTTGTTGTACAGTATTTCAGACTTGGGTTCTTCCTATGTAAACATAAGGAGAGCAGCTGATTTATTCAGGCTTTGAACATTTTCCATAGCAAAGCTCTGGGGCTCCCAAGAGAGCCGTGCCCTGGCCTCGGGCCCTCTGGGGGACGCAGCCAGAAGAGAAGAGATCCCAGCACGAAATCTCCACTCCACCTCCACTTTCCCAGCAAAGATCACCCAGCCCTCAGAGAAGATGGGGGCTCTCGCCGTGGCCAGAGCTTTTTTCCCTAGTGCTGATCAGTTTGAAACTCTGTAATTGTCTTCATTTGATCACCATCTCTCCTATGGGGCCGTAAACTCCTTGCGAGTGGGTGATGTGTCCATCTTTTTTTTTTTTTTTCATAACAGCTTTACTGAGATACAAGTCACGTACCGTAAAATTCACCCCTTTACAGTATATAGTTCAGGGCTTTTTGTGTGGTCACAGTTGGTCAACATCAACGCTATCTAATTTCAGAATGTTTTCATGATCCCAAAAGGAAACCCCAACCATATCCATTAGCAGTCACCCCCCATTAACCGTCACTCCTGCCCTCGGGTGCCACTGATCTGCTTTCTGTTTGTATAGATTTGCCTGCGCCAGACGTTTCATAGAAATAGGATCATACACTAGGTAGCCTTTTATGACTGGCTTTTTTTCACTTAGCAACTTGTCTTCCAGGTTCATCCATGTTGTAACATGTATCAGTACTTTGTTTTTAAAAATCTTTTTTTTTTTTTTTATCCTCACCCGAGGACATTTTTCCATTTTGTGTTCAGATAGAGCGGGAGGGAGGGAGAGAGAGAGAGAAACATCGATGTGAAGGGACACATCGAGTGGCTGCCACCTGCACGACCAACCAGGGCCGGGGACAAACTGCAACCGAGGTACATGCCCTTAGCGGGAACCGAACTCGGGCCTCTCTGGACCGCAGGCCGATGCTCCAACCGCTGAGCCAAACCGGCCAGGGCTTAAAAATCTTTTAAAAAACTTTATTTATTGATTTTTAGAGAAAGAGAGAGAAACACCAGTTCGCTACTCCATGTTAGTTGTTATTTATGCATTTGTTGGTTGATTTTTTTTTTTTTTTTTTTGCATTTATCTTCAGATAGAGCGGGAGGGAGAGAGAGAGACATTGATGTGAGAGAGACACATAGAGTGGTTGCTACCCACACGAACCCAACAGGGCAGGGACAAACTGCAACCGAGGTACGTGCCCTTAGCAGGAACTGAACCCTGGACTCTGGTCCACAGGCTGACGCTCCAACTCCTGAGCCAAACCTGCTAGGGCCGTTGGTTGATTTTTGTATGTGCCCTGACCTGAGTTTGAAATAGTCATGTAATGACCCGCAACCTTGGCATACCGGGACAGTGCTCTGATCAGCTGAGCCACCTGGCCAGGGCAGTACTTCACTCATGGTTTTGTTTGTTTGTTTTATAGTGTATTGATTTTTGGAGAGAGAGGAAGGAAGAGGGAGAGAGAAAAACATCCATGTGAGATCGGCTGCCTCCTGCACGCCCCCCTGTGGGAATGAGGCCTGCAACCTGGCCATGTGCCCTGACCCGAATCAAACCACGGCAACCTTTCGGTGCCCGGGAGGATGGATGCCCAGCCAACGGAGCCACACCGGCCAGAGCAGTGCTTCATTCATTTTTATGGCCTAATGATATTATTCCATTGTGTGGATATGCTACGTTTTGTTTTGTCTTTTCATCATTTGGGTTGTTTCCATTTCGATATTATTATGGAAATACTGCGGGAACATGCGTATCCATGTTTTTATTTCTCTTGGGTATACACTGAGAATTGGAATTGCCGGGACACGTGGTAGCTCTATGTTTCACGTTTTGAGGAACTAACAAACGGTTCCCACAGTGGCTGCCCCAGTTTACTTTCCTACCAGGGGTACGAGGGTTCCAGTTTGTCCACATTCTCGCCAAGACTTTTATTTTCTGTTTTTGCTTTTCTAATAGCCGTCTGAATGGGTGTGAGGTGGTATCTCATTATAGTGTGATTTGCCTTTTCCTAATGATTAGGGATCTTGAGCATTTTTTCACGTGCCTGTTAGCCATCTCTGTATATTTAGAGAAACATTTATTTAGTCCTTTGCCCACTTTTAAGTTGGATTGTTTACCTTTCCATTGTTGAGTTGTAAGAGTTCTTTATATATTCTGAATACAGTCTCTCACTGATGTATGATTTCCAAACATTTTCTCCCATCCTGTGGGTTGTCTTTTCAATTCTCTGATAGTGTCTGTGAAGCTTGAAAGATTAATTTTGAAGTCCAGCTTAGCTGGGTGGTTTTTTTGTTGTTGTTGCTTCTGCTTCTGGGGTCATAGTGAAGAAACCATTACCTAAAGTTATAGTTTTGCTTCCGTTTTCTTGAAGAGTTTTATAGTTTTAATTTTACATTTAGTTCTGTATCTGTCTTATTCCAGATTGTATGCCCAGTGCCTAGAATAGTAGCCTGATGTATAGAAGGTACTTGATACTAAATGAAATGAATGAATTACTATCTCTTGAACGAATGAATGAATAAGTGAATGAGTGAATGAATGAGAAGATGTCTCCTCGTCTTAGAGCTGTTGTAAAGTCCTTAAGTAAAGTCCCGTGGCTTTATACAAAGGGAGGGCACCAATTTGTCTTAATCCCATCCCCCAATGAACCTACCAGCTTCTCCTTTCCTATTTAAAAAAATATATTTTTTCTTTATTGATTTTTAGAGAGAGAGGAAGGGAGAGGGAACGAGAGATAGAAACATGGATGAGAGAGAACATCAGTTAGCCACCCACAACCTGGGCATGTGCCCTGACTGGGAATTGAACCGGAAACCTCTTGGTGCATGGGTTGACGCTCAACCACTGAGCCACACCAGCTGGGTTCCTTCCCTATTTTTATTCAATTTTGCCTCTGTTTAGTTTCCCTATTTGCCAAAAGGTTACTAAGACATTTCCTAAATAAATCGTGCCTAGACATGGTTAACTTGTAAATATGATAGCTATGTAAGAAAATTTTCCCTGTCATAAAAATCTTGGTTGGTTTGATATTTTGTTGTTTTTTTCTTGTGTTAGACAAATAAATTCAGGTAACATGGCAGTGTATAAATTACAAGGTCTAAGTTGCCTCCTGGGGGAGGGCGTATGGAATATTTTGGGAATTCTTTGGACTATTATTTTAACAACCGTTTTACGTTGAATTTTTTAAAAATTGTCTCTCACAATCCCAGCCACAGAGGGAATTACACTGTGGACCCTGAGAGGTAACCACGTGCTGGGTGCTTTATATTCGTCTGTCATTTCATCCTTGGCTGCTGAGGAAGAAACAAGGATGAAGGCAGGTGACCGGGGGTCACAGCTCAGTTGAGTAGCAGAACCCACATTTGGATGTGAGCCTCCCACATCTCAGTAGGTAGCATTTCCCTGGGAATGGAGCCGATTGACTCCTTCACCCGCCCCTGTCATGGTGAAGGTCCCTGACACTTTCCAAGCCTGTGCTCCATGAGGGTGGACGGGCCAGTCCAGGAGTTTCTGGAATCGAGGGGCTGCCATCTGAGGACTCGAAGGAAAGCGAGCAGGGTATGGAGGGATTCGGTGGCCCCTCGCCAGCCAGCAGGTGGGCTCCGATCTCTCGCTTTTCTGGGGCATCCAAGGCTCGCGGGAGGCAGCCCTGACCCCCCTTCTGTTCTGCCTGTTCCAGGAACTGAAGCTGCCTGCCTTCCGAGCCCACTCCCCGCTCCTGAAGAGCCGCCGGTTCTTTGTCGACATCTTGACCCTGCTGAGCAGCCACTGCCAGCTCTGCCCTGCGGCCCGGCACCTGGCTGTCTACCTGCTGGACCACTTCCTGGACCGCTATAACATCACTACCTCCAAGCAGCTGTACACCGTGGCCGTCTCCTGCCTCCTGCTCGCAAGTACGGGGAACCGCTTCCTCCCTGAGCCTGGGCGCTCCCAGGTCTCGGTACCTTTCCGGGGCTGTCCCCACCCTCTGTGCTCGTCCTGAGCTGAGTGGGAACTAATGTTGTCAGTAATAATCATCAATATTTTCTTTGGCATCTGTAATGTACCAAGCAAGCTAAGTGATGAGGATTTTATCACCTTGATCTTTTCTTAAATTCTATTTTTATCCTCACCCAAGGATATGCTTGGGTTTTTTATAATTGACTTGAGAGAGAGAGGAACAGAGAGAGAGAGAGAGAAATCTCGATCGGTTGCCTCCCATATGCACTCCAGCCGGTGATTGAACCCACAACCTAGGTATGTGCCCTGACTGGGAACCAAACCCGAGACCTTTTGGTGTATGGGACCATGCTCCAACCAACTGAGCCACCTGGTCCGGGGGCCTTGCATCCTAGACTTTTAATTGACACCTACTTCCCCACTAAACAGTGAGTTTCAGGGAGCGAAAGGAGCCTGGCGCATTGTAAGACCTCAACAAAACGTATTTGTGGGATAAATGAAATGAATGGAGCGGGGCTTTCTTGAGAGCTGGGCCTCCGCACTTCCCCACTGGCCTTAATGCAGAGGAGCAGAACACCCCAACGTGGCCAGCAGCCATTATGACATTTCCTTGACATCTAGTATTTTCTCCTTAAAATGCAGTTCGATTTTACAGTCTCCACCCCAGACTGTTAGTGTTCTATTTTATTATACGGGCACCTCCCCCACCCTGGAGTCCTACCGATGCTGCAGAGAGACAACGCCGCTTTCTCCTGTGGCTTTGTCTGCTCCCGGCACACTGCCATGAACCCCGATGGGCACGATCACCAAGTTCCAGAAGCTTTAGACTTTTCAAAATTCTGTCTTGTTTTCCACCCTGGCACCTTCCACCTGCTGTTATTTATCATCCTGGTGGCTGCTTTGGGTTCATAGCCTTGAGATGTGTGGTTTTTCTCTACCTTGAGCCAGCTAGATTTCCCGTGTTACGCAGAGGAGCCAGCCTGGCTGAGTCCACCCTGTTTGCTACTTCGAAGTCCCAGATCAGCACGCAGCTCTCTTTGGTCTTGGGAAGAGACATCCCTGTCAGCGGAGGGCAGAACGGGCATCGCATTTCAGGCGGCCCGGGAGAAGCCTGTGCCGTGGCCTTTGGCCTGCTGCTGTCTGTGATCTGTGGGCTGCATCGAAGCCCTCTGGGGGCAGGGGACTTGGATTTCCATGGGGCCACGCAGGCTCTCCCCCAGCGTCTGTCTGGGGAGCTGGGATGTGAGACACACACTGGAGACTCCTTTGTGCTGCTGGGGCCATGGCCGAGGGAGGGGGCCCTGCAGACAGAGAGGCAGACGCCCCCACCCACATGTCTGAGGGCAGCAGCCAGCCTCGGGCGGCAGAGCTGGGATTTTTCGGGACACCTGCCATATGCTCAGAGGCCTAAGGAAAGAAAAGTTTCCATGACAGCCTGAAATCCTATTCATTCCTCCCTCCCCTCTCCCCAGGCGAATGTCAGCCACAAGGGGGGTCACCTTGCCTCAGGACGTTTGAAGTTCTGCTGATTCTATACCGAGTAATTCCCTGATAGATAAGAAGAGCCACAATTCTACTTGCCCCCACCTGTCAGTTCTTAGGTTTTGAGAGCTGCTTCCAGACAAGGGCCTTTGCACAGATGGAACCTTTTCACCTACATACAGGCCCTTCTGTCTCCGTAAAACAGGGGTCAGTCCAGGACCCATATCTACAGGCCTAGGGAAGGAGGTGGGAAAAGAAACAACCTGCAGGTTGTCCTGAGGTGGGCGGGTGGCAGAGCACCCCGTTGTCATGTTCGAGTTCATTGTTTGGGTTTCCGACTTAAAATAAGCAGACTAAAAATAGTCTAGCTATAAATATACTATCAATCGAGTAGACCCACTCTCCTTTAATCTTCCAGGTCATAGAGCACCCCTCTCCCAAGCGTCTTTCTGTAATTTACTTAAAAGGATAATTTGGAAAGGCAGAAATCCCCCAACTTTCAGGTGAGTTTGCTGAGACAGCGCAACATCATCCTCAGTCACTCTGGCGACAGCAGCCTCGTTGCTTGGCTGGTGCCAGTCCCTTTCCACACACAAGCAGCCTATGTGCTGCCATCTCCTCATTCTGTAGGTTCAGAGAGGTTGAATAACTTGCCCAAGGCCACACAGCTCAGAGTTTTATTTTTGTTATTTTTTTATTGAGGGAAAATTCATACCGTGACATAAAATTCGCCATTGTAACCGCTTCACAGCGAGCCGTTCTGTGGCACTGAGCACATTTCACACTGTTGTGCAGCTGTCGCCTTTGTCTAGTTACAGAGTATGTTCCTCATCCCGAAAGGAACCCCCGGACTCGTTAAGCAGTCACTTCCCATTCCTTCCCACCCCAGCCTCTGGCAACCACTCATCTGTTTTCTGTGCATACAGATTTGCCTATTCTGGATATTTAACATAAAAGGAATCATAATGTGTAGCCTTCTGTGTCTGGCTTCTTTCACTTGATGTTTTCACGGTTGTTTGTATTGTAGCATGTATCAGTACTTCCTTCCTTGTTATGGCTGAATACTATTCCATTTCATGGATGTACCACCTTGTTTATTCATTTGTCCACTTGATGGATATTTGGGTTGTTTTCTCCTTTGGGCTATTATGATGAGGGCTGCCAGATTCTCTCCCTTCCTCCCTTTCTCTTTCTTTCTCTCTGCATCTGTTGCCCATCCCGGTCTCCAGAGAACTTCTGGGAGCAACAGGTTCTTGTGCCTTCTTCCAAAATTGATCTAGTCTGTTTTCTAGAAATGTTCCCAGCCTATACAAACACATAGTCAAGCCTCGTGATTCGAAGATTTCATACCTGCGAATCTGCCTACTCCCTGAAATGTTTTTTTAACCCCCAAATCAGTCCTCACAGTCTGTGGTCATTCGTGGACACGTGTGTAGCAGCCAGACATGTGAGTTGCCCTGCTTGTGCGTTCCCAGCTGAAATGCAACGAGGCAGCACCTGCCTTCGTATCTCAGCTCTCACACCTAAAACAAGTCCTTTTCTCCGTCTCTTTAGTGCCACATGGTCTCATTTTTTCAGCTTCTTGGTGATTTTGCTGTTTAAAGTGACACCCAGCCCTGGCCGGTTTGGCTCAGCGGTTAGAGCGTCGGTCTGCGGTCCTGAGAGACCCGGGTTCGGTTCCCACTAAGGGCACGTACCTCAGTTGCAGTTTGTCCCCGGCCCTGGTCGGTTGTGCGGGTGGCAGCCACTCGATGTGTCCCTTCACATCGATGTTTCTCTCTGTTCCTCTCTCTCTCTCCCACTCTTCCTGAACAAAAAATGGAAAAATGTCCTTGGGTGAGGATAAAAAAATAAATAAATAAATAAAATAAAGTGATACCCAGTCATAGTGCTCAGTTGCTGTCTAGAGGTCCTGAGGGCAAGAAGGCTGTGGTGTGCCGTTTGGAGAAAATACGTATGTTAGATAAGCTTTGTTCAGGCATGAGGTACAGTACTCTTAGCTTAGGTTCCATGATAATGAATCAACGATAAATTACACAGAAATACACAAAACATGGTTACGTACTGATAATTGTGATCAGAGGCTCACAGGAATCAACCTAACCCTGGATCTCCCCTAAGGAGTGTGCTCAGTATTCACTAGTTCAGTGTTGGAGTGACTTTAGCATAATTATTGCGAGTAACCGGAATCGACTATATATTACACAACTGGGTTTATACCTAAGGTGCTTTCTTCCTAGTACAACAACCCCAGCACCCACCCCTGCATCCCTCCTTTCCCCTTCCCCCCTGCTTTGATCATTTGGCAACTTGCTTCTGAGAAGCAGCTTCTTTGTCTTTCCCATCAGTCTGTGTGGATTTACCTTACTCCTTTGATGGACTGCAGAGTGTTCTGTAATAGAAACATTGTCGTCTTTATAACGATCCATCTGTTAATTGAGTTAGATTGACGTCATTTTTTGCCACTGCTAGATACAATATAACTGTCCTTTCCCCTGTATCTTTGCACACCTCAGTGAGTATGTCTGTGAGACACATTCCCAGAGGTGGAATTGTTTGAGTTAAAGGGTGTGTGCATTTATGATTTTGATAGTGCTAAATTGCCTTGCAGAGGTTCCAACAAAACCGACATGGATGAGATCCCTTTTCTCTTAACTTGAACTTAGTTTGTGGGAGCCCGTGGAACCACGCCTTCCACTGAAACAACAAACTGTCAGGAGAGGAGTGGTTTCCCTTCTCCATCCTGGCCCCTCCCCAGGATCCACTGGTGGCTTTTCTTCTGTGCTCCCCCCGGGGAGTATGTTTTCATTTTGCCTTCCTGCCTCGTCCTGTCTGGGATGTCCAGGCAAGAAATGAGTCCCCAAACCTATTGCTTTGAAGGCTCCTACAGCCAGAAATCGTTAGCCACGTCTCACAGGGCAGGTACCAGTAAAAGCCGTCGCCTGCCGGGCGCTTGTGCCTGGGCCTCGGAGATTCTAGGAGAAGCCTGTCTTTCTCTCAGTAAACCACTTTCGCGCCCCAGCACCCACCCCTGCATCCCTTCTTTCCCCCTCCCCCCTGCTTTGATCATTTGGCAACTTGCTTCTGAGAAGCAGCTTCTTTGGCAGCTGGGCAGCTGGGCAGGATGGGGTCACCCGCTGGAGATTTGGGAAACTTGAAAGAGGTCTTAATCCCTCTTGGTAGAAAGGATGAAGGATGGAGCTGCCCTCCTTCCCTGGGGAGCTTAAGCCCACGCTGGGGTCGCTTCAGATGCCTCCGGGGCACTAATTGTAAGCAGCACCTGCAAAGGGAGTGATTTTTCCGGGTGGCCTTTTTCAGGGGTGTATTTCGGACAGAGCAATGAGATTTACTTGCAGGATTAAACCCGAATCTGAGAGGAAATGTGGCCGCCCCGTGCAGGAGATAATTTAACAGCTTCTTGTGTCTCACACACGAGTGCCCGCCTAGGAGGAACATGACATTTTCTCCCGAC